AAACGTAACGTTAACTCTATCTATCTGATATAGTGTTCTAAATAAACGTATATTCTTCAATCACGTGAATCGATGCTGGCAATACGAAGATGAATTGGTTTTCATGTCCCCAAGTTTTGTACACGACAGGGGGCCCAAATTCGCAAAGCGTTCAAAGGGCTACGACAGTCGTGATTCTATACTAAAAAATGGGAGTTGCTATTTTCGAAGCGCTACAGTCTTCAGTGGAACAGGGCCCAAGCCGCGAATAAAGCTGGGATAGTGCTGGGAGGGAATGAATAAATGGCGTGAATCGCAACAGTCCGCAAAACAGCATCACGGCTACATGTTCGTAATTGTATCTATGTGTCCTGATGTCTGAATACTACGATAGCCCCTTCATTTTTCTTAAAAGGATCCGGGGGCACGGGTGGCCCAGTCGTCTAAGGCGCCGCGATTCGCTGTGCAGAGTTGCGTCCCTTGGGCACGCCAGAAACGTGGGTTTCACCGAAGTGGTAAACGTCTGAGACCTGCATCACTTCGGGCTTTCCTCCCACATTAAGCTGACACGCCGTGATATAACTTGAATACTGTTAATAGCGGCGTTAAACCCGATTCATTTATCACTCACTTAAAAGGAGCCCCTAACTTCTACAACACCATTAAATGCTAAAAAAACCTATAGAAAGCGACCCTTTTTATATAAACCCTACGATGCACTTCAAGGGAGGGATACGGGTCTTTCCCATACTTAGACCCTAAACACGTGTAGCTCCTAAACATAGTCAGATCCAAAACTAGACCTGGGCCCACTTGCACAAAGCGATCTTAGCGCTAAGATGATCGTAACTCCAATATTTTAACATAGGCTTACAATAGTTGTAGCGCTAAGATCGCTTTGTGCAAGTGGGCCCTGAAGTACAGAACGCGTCAAAATTATGAGACAATGAACGTGTAAAGGTTTGTGTTTGGGATCTAAACACATGTTAACAATGTAGGCAATCCGCCCAGGCTGTCGGGGAACTATGGCACGCAATAAGCATGTTTAAACCACTGGATAATCATTTTAGTCTGTTTGTACGATGACAATACTGAACATCAGCAATATCCCGGAAACCCTGAAAAAAAGAATCCACTCTATGTGAGACCTACCCGTTAAGATCCGGGTTAGAATTGGTCTTCAGCAACCTTGCTTGCCGTAATAGTCGACCATGCTTGTCGTAAGAGGCGACTTTCGGGATCGGGTGGTCATGCTCGTTGACTTGGTTGATACATGTCATCGTATCCCAGTTACGTGGATCGATGCTCATGATGTCAATCACTGGATTGTCTGGTCCAGACTTGATTATTTCCATTAAAGCTGGAATATTGCTGAGTGCGGCGTTAAACAACAAACAAACAAACTATACGAGAACACCCATGTCGAGTTTGACAAAGAATACAGGATTCCTATATAATTCCTGTCCTCTGAAGAAACGACCCGCATTTCCACAGGAATTGCTTGTGAACAATCTATTTGAGTTGCTTACGTAGATAATGTGAAGTGTATGCGTCTATGGCTGGTTTAATGTCTTGATGACTTTACAAGGTGAATCAATCTACCACCACTTGTTTACTCATTCAGTAGGAATATATTTCCGGTATTATGCCAGGGTCGGTGTTGAAGACCTTTTGTTTATTGTCAGCGAAATAACGATAACGTTGTTACAGCACGGCAGGAATGCCAGACTTTAAGAAAGAGAAGATTGTTCCGTTACCAATGCTGCGTTCTGGCGGTGCGCCCAATCGAAGGAAACATTTGCCAAAGAATATATTCATGCTTGTTTCAATGTCTCCAACATTATAATTTAGTTATATCATGGCGTGACAGCTTGAAGTGCGAGGAAAGCCGAATTGTTACAGCTTTAGACGTTTACCGCTTTCGTGAAACCCATGAGCATGGGTATGATGCTGACAAACCTAGAAACATAGTCTGGGCGAATCTGGGATTCGAACACCGACCATAATTGTGTGGCTCGCCTAAAGTACACAACTCTCAACATGTCGAATTTCTGCCATCCCCGAACAAGGAACCTGACATGTACATTGTATGGTGTCGTGCAAAACTGCTCACTTAATTCAAATTCCATTTTTTAAATATGGACACCATGGCAACCACATTGATCGAGTCGGTAGCACCATTCAGCCATTCCTGTAACAATGTGGTGTATGTTATGTACAGTCTGAAGGTGGTATGAGTTGACAAAGACGGGCTGTTTGTGACCGTTCTCGCTTTGTGAGACTGGATACATCAATATTTTAATGCACTAAGAATGACAGACATGAGCTGCACACGCTATTCATCTTCACGAGGCTCGTATATTTACAAATAGCAATGCGTAATAGGCAGGTATTGAATAAGTATGGTTTTACGTCCCTTTTAGCAAAATTACAGCAATATCACGGCGGGGGGAACCAGAATGGGACAAGTGTTCGAGTTTCATGGTGTAACATCGTTACTGATCACGTGGTGTGTGTGTGTGTGTGTGTTGGGGGGGGGGGGGGGGGGGCGTTGAATGTTTCAGTGGTTTCGGTGTACGTGTATGATACAGTACATGCACATACAAAAGGATATTGTGATCTACGTCGACCTCTGTGTGGTCCTATCGACATACTGTCTGTCTGGTGAGTGGGTGGTTGAGTGAGTCGGGAAGAGTGGTATCTGGGTGAATGATTGAATTTTGATTAACGCCGCGTCTGCGCTCTTGCGAACCCGTGAAGATCCGGGTCAGACTATAGGTCTTCAGCAACCCATGCTTGCCGTAAAAGGCGACTATGCTTGTCGTAAGAGGCGACTACGGGATCGGGTGGTCAAGCTTGCGGACTTGGTTGATGCATGTCATCGTATCCCAATTGCGTGGATCGATGCCCATGACATCAATCACTGGATTGTCTCGTCCAGACTCGGATATTTACAGACCGCCGTCGACTAGCTGGGATTTTGCTGGGTGCGGCGTTAAACAAACAAACAAACAAACAAACAAACAAACAAACATTCGCGGCGATCTGTCCGGTGTGACGAGGTCCTCATTAGTCTATTGTGGGGGCGGTCGGGTAGCCTAGTGGTTAAAGCGTTCGTTCGTCACGCCGAAGACCCGGGTTCGATTCCCGACATGGGTACAATGAGTGAAGCCCATTTCTGGTGTCCCCAGTCGTGATATTGCTGGAATATTGCTAAAAGTGGCGTAAAACATTACTCACTCACTCACTCTACATAGCCGTACAGGCGACTACATTTGCCTCGGACAGCCTCTGTGACCTGATTGCGTAGGGTGGATCGATGCTCCTGTTGTCAACCACTCGTTCACGGCGTGTCAAGACCATACTCGAATTACTGGTGAGAAAGTGAGTATGGTTTTACGCTGTTTTTAACAATATTTCAGCAACATCACCAGAAATGGGCTTCACACATTGTACCCATGTCGGGAATCGAACCCGGGTCTTCGGCGTGACGAGCGAACGCTTTAACCATTAGGCTACCCGACCGCCCATCGTCGCTGTAGAAGTGGAATCATCTTGAACGCGACGTTAAATCCCATTTAACCTCACCTCACCTCCAGTAAATTGACTGAAAGGTGGCCTGTGTTACCAATTCCGGCTTGATCAACCTTTTTCAGAAAGTATCCAGACGGTTTGTTCCAAATGGACTTCGAGACAAATACGTTTCTTTCTGCCCTTTGCTCGGGTGCCTTTCATCGCCACGATTAGTTGATAGGGAAACAGCAATGCTGGGATATGCTTGTGGATCGATATCGTATGCGTCAATAATAAACAATAACACCTAGCAAAGATTGAGATTAGCGTCGATAAATCAAACGCCAATGGCAGTTATACCGTAGTTGATCAGCGAACCATAAACAGCATGTGTTCAGTTGAATCCCGATTTGTGTCAGGAGAATTCGAAATGTTCATAATATTAATAATATAACGCTTGCTGAATTATCGATCGCCATCGATTTAGCATGTTTAGTGTGTATTGAACCACGTCGGGTCTAAACGTCTTAAGTGCAATGGTCATTGTATCCGTTGTTTGTGAGAAAGGCAATCACCGACTGACGGGCCGGTCTTTTTCTACCTGTGTTGCCGATCTTCTGGTTTTGTCTCATCTCTTAAGTGAACCTGACTATAGGTTCATGAACTTCATTAGAAAGCCAGCGGGGGCATTAATATGTATTGTGTGTATTGTCTGTAAGTCTTAGCGCTGGTTGTGTGTGTGGCAGTGTGACAGTTGTTGTTGCATGTAAAGCGATATACCGATGGTGTGAGTGAGGTAGACTAACATTTAGTCTATGAAACAGTAAGTCTTATATTACACAATATCCTTCTTGACTCTAAAAAAATTAATTAATTTCCCTACGCTGATTTCATGTGGAATAGAGCTAGCTACAGCTGGCTAGGCTTGCTTTTGTATGCGTTTCTATATTGTTGTTTTTGCATAAAATAAATATATTCCACAGTCATGGTGCAGGACTATGAGTGAGGCTCTACCCAGCTTTCAGCAATATTTCAGCAATATTTCAGCAATATAAAGCCGACGGGTGTATGACGAGCGAATGCTTTAACCACTGGGCCACACAACAGCCCCAAATAACGATAGATATGCAACTGGAAACTAGTTAGGCACCACTATATATCTTTATCCATGTAATTTTTGAAATGGTACTTTTTTCGTCACAAAATTAATACAGGATAATAATAAACATTGTTTTATGCATGGAAATAGATAGTGATCTGTGCTCATTAATTTCCAGGTGTATAATTTCTCTTGGAACCTTGATAACTCTACAAGGATTTGTACTTCCATGTTAAAATAGTGTCCACTGTTGTCTATAATAGTTCAACAAATGATATTACAAACGCCTAACTCAGATCATGGGTATCCTTAGCATCAACGCGTACTGGGTTAACTACGGTATTTAATCTGCGCTCCATCTTGTTGCCTGGTAGTGTATCGATACAAGGAGTTTCTATTGGTACAAATATCAACCTGCATACATATCTCGTGTATCAATGCTGGAATATTGCTTAACGTGATTGTGTAACCCAAGCCTGAACTGACGGACGGACGGACGGACGGACGGACAACCGCCGGCAACATGACGTCCGCACAGCTTCAGTATATCTATAACGAGGTGAGGGGTTTTGTTTGTGGGTCCGTGTGATTTTATGGTGTCTGGTAACAAGATGTGATTTTTTTATAATGTTATTTTAAACATAAATTTATAAGATTTAAAAATTTGAATAAAATAATTGTTTGAATTTGAAATATCTTTTAAATAGTGTTTCTAAAAAATGCAGAAGCATGTTTCTTGGTATCAGCTGTCAGTTGTTTTCGCCTTTGACTCAGACATGTAAAAAATACACGTGTGGTCGTCTTATATTATGAAGAATAAGTAGTATATACTAATAATTAATTGAAAGTGGTGATCCCATTAAACATGTCTAAACTTAAGTAGCTTATTGTTTACATCAGGCAAAATATATTTTTACAACAGTTGTAGTAATGTTCGGAATAGTAATATGGTTTTAATAGTAATATGCCCCGGCCAATAAAATGGTTAATAAAAACTATTTCTCCAGTTTATGATAAATGCACGAGCACTGTTTCTACCGTTACTACGTGTATGTTTGTACAATGTTCCTCTATAGATTCTTAGTTTATCTTGGTTAGTGTATAAGTTGTAAATAATACACTGTGTCGTGAAAGCTGCATGATATACGTGCAGAGTGCTACTTTTATATATCCTAGTACCTCGCTTAGAAACACGCACATACCTGTAGTATCGAGCAACCACCGGCCATGCGACTATATATATACCCATTGTACATACTCAATGATTTGACGGGTTAATAATAAACATCAACAAATTATTATGAAAATTAGTAGATATCTATAATAGTTCGTTTCATCGTAAGTTTATGTTGGGTGATCTATTGTCTCTACCTTACGTGTGTGGTTTAACATGGACCGAGAGAAAATGAAACTGTCCCATTATTTCACAAGTGTTTACTTTCTGTCACCGATCGCGACGAGATGCCACGCCCCCTAACGACAAGAAAGCGTCCTGTGACAACACGATTGTGACGTCACATATAGGCCCTCGTTCAAGCCAATCTACGATCAATTGCGTGAAACATCCATGCTATTTGCTTTACGACTATCAATCTTTGATGATATTTCCGTGAGAGTGTGATTTGATGATATTTGTGTGCGTAAATATTGCATGAGCAGCGAGAATGGAAACACCTTGATTAAACATTACTTGTTGTTCATCGCATACTAAAGTCGTTCAGTCAATTATGTCTAATGTAAACAAATGTCTTCTGCTGAAATAATTGAATATTTATGTTTTTGTCACCTTTCTAAGGCAGAATGTAAGTAAACAGCCATCTGTTTTTAATGAGCAATATGCTATCTATATGTATAATTTAAAGATATTTACGAAATAATTCGTACAATTAGTACATGCGTAGCTTAAATCAGGCAAGTATGTAAATATAAATAAAGTGCGTCTGTTATCCTACGCGGTCATAGCGGGTGGGTGTAGGGTGGTGGGGTGGGGGTGGGTGGGAAGTTGGGGTGGGGGATGGGGGTGGGGGTGGGGGCATGTTGGGGGTCGGTGGCATTTTTAAAGAGTCATTACGTTCCCTTTAGATGATTACATATACAACTATGGTCATCAATTGTTATTTCATGAAGACAGAGAGAAAAAGAAATGCTAGTTGAACTCATAGATTGATTTTTAGAGAGATTGAAGTGCGCAAAAACAATAACACCCCAAAATACTGAACAGTTCAACATATTCGACTGACAGTATATTTTTTCAAGTAATACATCAGTGGAGATAAATGAAATATTTACCAAATCGTTATAATATCGATTCCCTTCTGTCTGATATATTGTTTGTCTGACTGAGATAGCTAAATACACAACGAAACGATGGGGCGAATATCGTATAAATGTCACATTGATCAATACATTTCGTTATAAAATGTTAATCAGTTTTCTAGTCAGTTATGGTGAGTAAAGTAATACGATATAATAAAAATCAATATTCTACCCGTTGTGCGAGACCGCCCAACCCGACGCCGCGTACGAAGTATAACTAGTCGTAGGAAAACAGCAGTAGCACACTTACGGTTTAATAGGATTTCTGTTCGGTAGAAATGGCGACCGACGTAATGTCTCGATTACAAAGTCCCTACACGGGCCTTGTAAACATCGACACTCGGGTAAGTTACACAAGATCAGTTAGAAGATTGTCTCGGGCATGTGTTTTGTTTCAAAATACATCTTTTGAAATATCTTTTCAGCTGGGAGAAGAAACACTGTCACCAACGTTTGTCAAGCATTTAGAACACTATTACGACCGGGCACCTGTCTCGGATAAGGCCAGGTGTTTGGAGCTGATCACTTCTATCAAACTCGGAGAAGAGGTGAAGAGGTCACAGGTTCGCCGGCCAAAAACAGCAATGCCTGCATTAGGTATATATCCCTATCATGAAAATACAGAAGTTATCCTAGTAAATAAAAGTATCGATTACCTCTGCGTAATGGCAAACTTTGAAAATTATTTAGTGTGAGAAATTATATGAAAGTGTGAATTGTTATTGGCATTAGTTATATTTCCTTGTATATTACACAATGTCAGATGTAAGTTTTATATTTAGTTTGATCCGACATTTGTCTTAGTAATTTTCGGATAAATTCATATTTTCTTTTTCATTCTCATTAAAATCGTAACTTTTTGACGAAGAATTGTGGCGAATCGGAGTTAAACACTCATTTTCATCATTTTATGCGATTATAAATGTGTTCTTCTATTATTGAAATCACACCTAATTGCAACTTGAGATAGATTGATTGATTCGGAATGAGCACTGTTTGTTCTGAAGCTAAATTGTTTGTTTTTCATCAGCGAACATAATCGCATGCATTGTTCAATAAATGTTCACATTCTCCCTGCAGGGGGGTCGGAGACAATGGAGGACATACTAAGTCCCTACAAGACTACTTACAAGCGGGAGTACATCAAACGGAGGGACCCAGATGTCCGAGCGCTCAGGTGAGTACTTATTCCTGTGACCAATAAATACACTATTCACACTATTGATCTAATCTGTAAAATATACATTTTTTATCTGTTAAGGATGAGTTGATCGTTTATATATTTTGATATACGCAGGACAAGAGAATAAATATAAACAACAGAAATAAAAGTACCCAAAAAATATTAGTGAACATGTATAGTATAGAATCGAACCTTACCATCGTTTCTATAGTGACGACTATTTTGAGTATGGACATAATCGATGACGCTTTTGTCAGTTTGGATGTTTCTCTGTTTACTCGTGATTGATTATGCAAAATCAACAGTTTGTTTATTTAAGTGTGTATGCCTTGCTACAGATCTAAACAACCGGAACTCCTTAGTTTACCTTATACAAGTAGACCCAAACATGTGTTTCAAAGTAAATAATCAATCAGTATATGATTATCGAAGATAAATATTGACCTATGCATGTGTGCCGCTGTGCGTGTACTTAACTAATTGTGATATTACCAGTTTTGTAAGGAACGGTGTATGTTAACATTAAATGTTGGTATTTTGCACAGTCATTATTCGAATTATCAGTGTTTAAACATCACAACATACTCCCAGTTGGGGTACTACACATTTTTTCGACAGGATAATCTATTTTTCCAAACACTTCAAACAAACTGATGAAATAACTATATTACAAACAAACGTTCAACTACCTCTCTAACGTCAATCACCCACAAAAACGAGTCTCCAGTCTTGATAAGATATTTCCACTATTGACATAAACCTTCTCAGCCTCGAGTTCAGACCTACTTGCAGTGATTGGTTTGTGAAACAAATAATGTGCAGTTTATAACTTAGACGCACTTGAAATGCGTCCGCCCTCCACCTTGAGCACATTTAGCTTTGTCAGGAGTTCTTATTTGACATCAAACCCTCTCAGGGCCCCTGGTATTGCTAAAGTAAATTGTGCAAGGGAACATCTACGCTCATATCACGACCTCAGCTTGAAGTAGTATGCTGTTATTGCATTGACAACTTACCTTTGGCTGGGTGTCGATGGCAGAAAGGTATTACTGAGGACAAACGCTGTACTGTTATCTTATTTCTTCAGTACCATCTCAGACTATATTTCTTTGCACTACTATTGATTTTAACATATATAATATATGGTTTTAGGATACATGTGAGAAAACCCTTCCCATAACAATAAAAACAACGACGTATTAACAATATCAATAATGAACCGATAAGACACGTGCACGTAATTGTGTTACGTCTATAGTTTAGGGTCTGTATACAAGATATTTCGTAAATTATAATATTTCGTTATACTTTGTCATTATGAATATGTTCTTTTGCTATTTCATACCCAATAAGACAGTTGTATGGGGAACTGACATGGATTTTGTTGTAACCATGATGTTCAAACAAATGATAAGATTTGAGCAACTATTTCAAACAAAAAGTGCAAGGTAGCTTTTGAGACAGCCAGATTACTTGTCGACTGTGTATGGCTAGGATTGTGTGTGTGAACCGTGGTTGAGCAGAAGGTTTGAATGCAATTGTACATATCGATCTCGCTATCGATCCGTGTCTGCCCTCATCACTTCAGCTATTGATCTATGTCAAAATCATAGCCCCTCGAGCAGTTCAATATCCTCTATTGACACGGAACTCTCATTGGTAACCGCCCTCACGCTCCGTCTGAAATGAACAGCGGGTTCTATAATATATTGAAATGGCTTCTACATGCTGATCAGGTTGACGGTATTATATACGGTTCGCTTCACTGCTTTTTGAATTAATATTTCTGGACTCAATTTATGTAGATGTTGTCCAAACAATGGTTCAAAGAAAAGGAATCTTTACACATTGTCAAATATAGGCAACGGGAATTTTGTAATAAATATTTAATTTTGCCAACGTAGGCGGTGAGAGTAAAGACACATCACAATGAAATATGGTGAACTGAAAGTTTATTTTAGATAGGAGCTGGTGTTCTTGCGAGGATTTGGTATCTGGAAAAAATGTTTTTCATAATCGGTCTTTCAACACTGGCCATTTTAAGAAGAAATATTTTTAACATCAGTTATTTTACCAATCATAAAAGAGCAACATGTTTTTGGTAACAAATTTACTACAATGAACTGAACATCTCATCTTCCATATGACAAAAAAATTAATTACCCTCAATTTAATTTTTCTCACTGTCTCCTTAGATGGGTTATTTTTTTCGAAAATATTCCAGATACCTATTCTCCAAATATTCCTTTACTCTAAACCCTGGTCAGTGTTCGCGACGCGGTATGAACCAATGCCAGCATGTCAGTCACCATAGTTACTAGAAAAACAGTAAAATTCCGAAGTATGTGAACGTATATCCATTATCGTCATAGCAAGGTCATGTACGGCGTATAACAGCGTTAATTATATAACGGCAGCCGATTATCAGCTTCAAACTCCTATAAAGTGGTAATTATACACGAGATCGGCGTTCAGATCGAGATAAGGAACTACATGATACGGCCATAAACGGTGGCATTATGAATATACAGTATAATGTGATCATAATCTCGAGCTTATCGTGTGCCCCAATCTTAAGGTCACTGAACAAAGAAGTTTAAGCTTTGAAATGACTTTGATTTTACACCCCTTTGACTTTTTTGTTTTTATTCATAATTGGACTTGCAACTTCAGAGACCACTGCGTGGAGACACCGAGTGCAGATACACATAACTCTACATTAAACACACTGCATGCAAAGATGACCGTATGTTTGAGACAGTAGTCATTCGATGAGTCTGGGACTATCTGACCTCTTATGATTTAAGTTCAACGTGGAACACGTGTTTTCCTCACGTTCTTGCAAAGCCTGATTGTTTTTCGACCTTCTTCATTGTTATAAACGTTTATCATCGAACCCGCGTTGCAAGCGAATATTTTAACCATGTACTGTGCTACCCCACCGCCCTGCTTCGTATGAATACATGTACTTAGATCATAGTTATTGGCGAAATCAGATCCTCAGATATGACCTGGGTGATCGTGTCATCGTAACTCGACCCCTGCCTAAACTATCAACGACAACATGGCTTGTCTGGTCCGGACGCGATCGCTCTTGGTTTTGCTCGACTTGAAACATATTTACTCACTCATAGCGTCTTCACATTCGATACTGTGGCTGTCAAATTATTCTTATTCAAAAGCCCACCAACTAATGCTCACGTCTTCACAGACCCATGACGTCCCAGGCTTACACCAACGCCTTCAGCCTTAGCGGCCCTGTGGGCAATACCACCTACCATACGGACTACCACGCCAAAAGGGAGGCGCAGCAAGACCAAGTCAGAAGCGGGTCGGCTTCCGGTACACGGAAAAACAACCCACACCCTTCAAATGTGAGTCTGTATTCGGAATCTGTACTCGGACCCTAGATCGAACCCATTTCGTGGTTCGAAGATTGGTGCGCTTATTTTCATGTCATTTTCTGGTACTGTATCCAAAATTTAAACCATGTCGTGTTTAGTAGGGTTGGACATATTTCGTGGTGTAACTCAAGGAACTCAATTTAAAGGGAGACTACTCTCAGATCAATGGCAGTCCTATCAAATTGTATTGAAGTCATTCCAAAATGACTTTCTGTGTCCCCTCCTTGATCCTCCATTTTCCAGTTTCTTTCCACTAGAAACCCAATATTCGACATAAATACCCAGTGCCCTATGCAGTAATATTAAAGGTAACCCCATATATGTAATAAAATGTATAATTTCTGATGTATGGTCGGTGTCGGAGTCTTGACCAGACAGTCCAGTGATTGACATCATGCGCATCGATCCACGCAATTGGGATACGATGACATGCATCAAACCAAGTCAGCGAGCCTGACCACCAGATCCCGTTAGTCTTAGGTCCCACGGCAAGCATGGGTTGCCGAAGACCTATTCTACCCCGGATCTCCACGGGTCTTGTTTTTCAGAGGCAAAGTACGGCCAACGGCAACATGCTGGCGGATTGGGTATTAAATGGAGAGAAGAGTCGCGTTGTGCATGCGAAAGCAGAAACATGTAAATGTATTTTACATATTGTATAATATTTTTCATCACACTTTTTTTTTATTCTATCAAGGCGTTCATGGTCTGGAGGTTCCCGTCCAATAAGAACCCTGTACCGGATGTGACGCCATGGACAGAGCAAGTGACGAACGAGAAGCTGAACCAGGTCCACAGAAGGCTGTGTTCCTCCACGTACCAGAACGACTACCTCGGTATACCGCAAGGTCGGGACACAAACATAATCTGCTCATCTATGACCAACACTTACGATAATGACGTCGGGTATAACGACGCAGCTGTTTTCTAACGGGTGGTTCAATATGTAAAACATCACATCTTCAAAATAATACAAAAGCAAGGACATTTGTTTTTCTTAATCTGTAATTTTCACAACGACGTACAATGTAGGTAAATGCGTGCCGGTATTGTTATATATATTTTTCAGTTATATTTCGTTCACTCGTCATTCTGAAAACACGTGTTCAGCTCTCAAACATGTATCAGATACGCGCCCTCTCCGAAATATTGATGGAACATTGCCACTCACTTACTCTTTGTTGTTCAAAAGGTTTCCAGGTACGAAGTGCATATAACCTTCCGGGAGATTGGCGGGAAAATATACCATACACACTAGACTCCGTACAGCGATACTCCTACCAAGGCACTTCCCCACAGAATGAGCTCCGAGTTCCAACAACGAGATACGGAAGCAACCCAAAGAAGCAACTCCCGGCCAACGGCGGAAGTAAGTACAGTCAGAATCTGCTTTGCAAAGGCTGGATCCGGGCGGCGGGGTAGCTTAGAGGTTTAGTGGTTAAATCACGGTTCCATTCTACAAATGGGTAAAATGTGTGTTTCTGGTGTGTCCCTCGTGATATTGCTGGAATACTACTCAAAGTGGTGTAAAACATCACTAACTCTAATGCACCCAGTATCGCTGAATGCCATATCTACCATATAGTGGTTTCCTTGCTCGGGGCCAATATCACCTAGTAAGCAAAAGCTGTAAAGCTGTAGAAAATACCTATCATTGGATGTATATACGTGTTTATTACATACACCCCTTAACTCACCTTATATACATGTGACTCATAAAGATTCCAGGTTAGAATTGGTCTTCATCAACCCATGCTTGCAAGAAGAGACTAACAGGATCAGCCGGTCAGACACATTGACTTGGTTGATGCATGTGATCGTATCCCAATTGCGTAGATTGGTGCTCATGATGTCAATCACTGGATTGCCCGGTCCAGACTATTGTTTCCAATATCGACCCCATGGAAAGATCCATAAATAGAGTGATTAGAAAAGTTAAACTTTATAAAGTTCTAAAGTGTCGGGCAAAAGAAAGTATACACTCACGTTTGATGGTGGCTAAGAAATGAAACAAACAAGAAATGGTTATTTATTCCATGGTGATGTATTTGATACCGGTATCATAGTTGTACTTTAGACCCCAAGTTCACAGTGTCCAGCGACTGTTTTCAGCCTATTAAGTATGTAAGTATGTATGACATGGCAATAAGCTTAGCACCCTTGAATTTTAACTTTGTTCAGATGGACCTCTTAACAAACCACCACCCCCTCTTCCAGATAGAATTTGCCCCTAATGTTTTAAACAGTTTAATAAGAGAATTTTTGAAGATGAATTACATTTTTTTATAACATGGCCTTTTTATGAAGACTTAAGACAAGCACTTTTTAAATATTGCATGTTATTAAATCCCACCTTTACAAATCTGACTGATTTGAACAAACTGATATTTATTTTAAAGTCAGAAAATGTACAAGTCTTATTAGCAAGCACACCTTATAAGATGTATAAACGTAAACAATGATTTAATTCATGAACATTATGTTAACTATCAATATTATCATGTATAAAATGTTTTGTATAGGATGCAAACATTATCCTTCATATGTTTAATAAACTGATGTCTTTATTGATTTCTTGTGTCGCATAAGCGTGATGGCTGGGCGTTACTTTTACATTATATGTCCATTTTGTTTTTGTATATACAAAGTCTATGTAACGCGTGACACATAAATAAACCGTTTCTTTCTCTGTAACTGTTTGGCAAAATTCAGTTTTCAAGCAGGAACTTTCCTTCGCCAGGCAGTTTATATCGTACAGAAAACACTTTATGAAATAGGCCGCATAAGCCAAGATTAGTTAATCTCTAGAATAAGTCATTGTAGGCAGTGTCGTAACCTGCTTATCCTTCTGATTAGCCGGCCTCTCCTCTCCGTTAACCCGACTGAGCACATTATCCCGAACCTTGCCTGAGAAACCCCATTGAACAAAACCGATCTGCGGTCATATCAGATTAGTTGACTTCAACAAATCGATATCCTAATCCGAATATCTCTGTGGCAAAGGCAATTAAATCGTTGAGTTTATTAGCTTGATTTCCCCCTTTGTATAGCCACCTACTCAATCTGTCGTAATTCGATTCGGATCGTTGTCGTAAAGAATTCAGCTCCGATGTCGTGATTGAAATTACATGTACCCGTGACGTCACACACTTCGCTGATTATGCGGATGGTAAATCGCATTTAATTGGGATATGTCGTATTTGTCAGCAGCGCAATCCTATTTCTGTCAGAATTACGTGATGATAAATGATATAATGACCGCGACAGTTCTCGCGTCGTGATGGAATGTTTTCCCGTCTTGGCATATTTTTATACAATGTTAACGACATTAAGTTGGTGAAGACGCCAAGAAGTGCAGACAAGCTATCGTTCGAAGCGACAGTAACTACTACACTGTGTCTTTTCCTGATAGTGTTAAGTATTAATCATGCATGTCAAAGTGATGCATGACAAACTGTAGCCAGTAGAATCACGCATCACGCTTTGCATTACAAGAAAACAAAAAAAACAAGGAAAAGAAAATCAAGCTGTAACCCAAAAAGTGAAACACTTAATTAAAGGAAAGTTGTTTATGGTGCTGCTCTGTGGAGAATAATCAACGATTAACGACGATGTTTTTAAAGTTCTTAATTACACTTAATGGTACTTACTTTTTAATGGCGCTTTTGTTGACGAGGCAAAGTTAATACATAATTCCAAGTTTCGCGAAATTTATTCTATATATACAGAACAAATCAAGTTAGGGATCATGAAATATTTTTATATACCGAAGACATTTACAGAAACCGTTTTTGAGAATGAGACTGAATGAATGTTGAGTTGTCAACAATATACAAAAGGTAACCTACTGTTTTAATGACGTATAATGAATAATTGTTACTGTCATGGCATTTTGTTTCTATCAAACAGGATGTGATTTCATATTTCTACAACTGTTTAATCAGCTTAAAAACTCGCTTAAATTCATAAATTTTCCTTAAAAGCACATTCATTACATTCAATCTTACACCTTTTTGAGCACTTCCGGTCTTGTTACTGCTTGGACTTGAGACAACCACTGGCTGCACGTGACCCAACTACAAGTGCGCGTGTTCCCAACTAAAGGGATGGGCCGTGTACCTGCTCAGGCAAACCCAATATTCTGGTTTTGTAACAAAGCTTTCTGTTGTTTCTTGAAATAATAATGCTTCGGAATAAAAATGAAAATCTTAGATGAACATACACGTAGTTATTTTTTTATAGATGCCAGTAATATCCAGGGGTAGTGTGATGTATGATGTAGATGTGGGAACCGTATCTCTGTGTTACTTCCCATAACCCTTTTTGATTTTGACTGTCGCTATATACACTCGTTTATAGGGACCAGCCCAGTGGTTCGGTTACCACGGCTCTGGGTGATATCCCTAGAACGAGCTTTGTCTTCGGGAGATATTCTTATATTCTGTTTATTACCTAAATTCTCACACTAAACCCAAACCCAAGATCAATTTTAACTCTAAATATGATTTCTTTTGACACCTTTCCCTGTCTTCAGTTCCAACAGCGAACAACTACTTGAACAGCATCAAGTCGCGAACTACGTACGACCGCCACTACAACGAGAACGCCGGCCCCGTCGTACGCCAGATCCGAGATGTCGGGAATAAGTTGGGCATAGAGACTCTCCGAAGACACTACGAGAGAGCTTCAGGTGAAGGTGAGTATGGGAGATAACCGTGTTGTGTTTTGTGTCACTAAGGGAGGTTACTCTCGTTACTGCAGTGCTTTCTTTCTTTGTATGCAGTTGAAATTTGACATGAGCACATCACGTCTATGGCACTTTGCGGTGTTGTAAGCTTTTAGTAACTAGCTCTGGTTTGATAGTTGCTGGATCATATATGAACATATATTTCATACGAGTGAGTGAGTGAGTATGGTTTTACGCCGCTTTTACCACTATACAAGCAATATCACGGGTGGGGACACAAGAAATAGGCTTCACACATTGTACCTATTTGGGGAATCGAACCCGGGTCTTCCGCGTGACGAGCGAACGTTTAACCACTAGGCTACCCAACCGCCCCTGTTACAAACGAACAGGATTGGAAGAATGATGAAATTAAAACAGAATGTGAGAATTTGTGTTCAGAGAACAATAAAGGTGGACATGACAAAATGACGGAAGTGCAAATGGAAACTCTATAATTAATGTACATGTATGTTACAAAATTGTTTGCCTCAGTATCACAAGCCGTTTCATAATCTTTGGTATGGGGATATATAATTATTGTACAATTACGATGTTTGTGTAGATTCTTAAAAAGGTGTAATCACAATATGCACGTTGGAAAATGTCCGAGTCAACCGCAGTCCAAGCAAACTTATTGAATTAATTAAAACCCCTCTTTGCTTGCCAGTAGTCAAATTGTAATGTGTATGTATACTGAAACAAAGAAGTCAGTGAGTATGAATGTGTTTTGAGATATTTTTTGTAGTGAATACTGAGCACACAATTATTCATGATCGCGATCTTTTTTTTGGTCAGTATATTACACACAGGTAAAAGACCCGTGAAGATCCGGGGTAGAATAGGTCTTCAGCAACCCATGTTTGCCGTATAAGGCGACTATGCTTGTCAGAAGAGGCGACTAACGAGATCGAGTGGTCAGACTCGATGACTTAGTTGATGCATGTCATCGATCCCATTTGCGTGGATCGATGCTCATGCTGGATTGTCTGGTCCAGACTTGATTATTTACAGACCGCCGTCATATAGCTGGAATATTGCTGAGTGCGGCGTTAAACAACAAACAAACCAACAAACACACACGTAATGTCTTAGTCAGACACAAGTTACCAATTACAACGTCTACAGCTTAGCCCGAAAATGAGTACCACATCGTTGATCATAGTCTTCGTTTTGTGACTGTTTACCTTCTAGCGGCTTACAATGCAGCATGGGTTGTATACTCCACAGGGAGCTGATAATGAAAATCAAGTGCACACTGATCCATTGACCAGAGTGAAAATGTTAGCATTTCGAGCACGTAAAGGTTGTATAGAGGCTAGCGCAATATAACTACACACAATATTATTAAGGGGCGGTCGGGTAGCCTAGTGGTTAAAGCGTTCGCTCGTCACGCCGAAGACCCGAGTTCGATTCCCGACATGGGTACAATGTGTGAAGCCCATTTCTTGTGTCCCCCCGCCGTGATAGTGCTGGAATATTGCTAAAAGCGGCCTAAAACCATACTCACTCACTCACAATATTATTATAATTTATTATTATTTGTGTCGCATCAGAAACAATTTTACAGCCGATTTCCCGAATTTTAAAGACGTGGGTCAAAGTAGAACTGACACGGATGTTCCAACTTCGTTGTATTTCAGAGCGGGAACTGTTTGGCAGGTTGATAGATGCCTACCAGGAACCTAACAGCCAATGGCCGCCTAAACCATCAGCACGCGCATGTTCACGGCCGATGGTTCCGGCCAGCACTTCCGTCACAAATTTCTGCACAGCACCAATGCCTACACCACCTCCGAGCGCCCCCGGGCCTCAGACTCCGCACGTGCTGTCTTCGTAACCATTTGGCCGTGTTACACGTGCTGATTGTTGTATCTGTATGCTTTTGTTGTGTTTAAAGATTGTGCACGTAATCAGCTTATATCACGAACGTGTCATTGTTTGTTTAGATCTGTTTCGATTTGTTGCGTCCGGTGCTGATGTACCTTACAGGGTTTCGTCTGTGTGATCATGGAATCTATTGGGACATTTCAAGTTTACTAAAAATTATGTGTAGACGGTGTGTGAAATAATTTTTCAACAGTACAAGCCAGCCTGGCTCGCTTGGTATTTTTAGATATGAGTAGCCATTGTGTGTTTTTACACTACCAAATAAAAGAAGAAATTTGGTAAGAGAGAAAGAAAATTTAGTTTCCTCAAGGTCAGGGTCAATGTCAAACAGGTTTGTATCAGAACTAGAAATAAGGGAACATAATAGGCACGGCAAATATTTCAGTTTACCGGGAAATTCCCTCTTCGAACTTTCATGTCTGACAACTAAATAACAAAATATTATACTGGATGGAAAATTAAGTTAGCGAGTCTGGCTGTCTTGATTTCATTTTCACTAGCCAGAGAGAAAATAATGTAGTCACGGGCTACCGGGCTGGCTTTTATTTCACACACTGCGTTTAGATCATGTTTCATCTTATAGATATAATTGTTGTATACAAATTATGAATGTGATATTTTACTGCACGCGGATTTGTTTACCAATTAAGTGGTATATTGGATATTTAGTGAAGTTGGATGCTTACGTATTTAAAATTGTTTTTAAAACCCCCAAATGTTCACATAACCATGACATTAAAATATCATATGTCTTTACTCGGAGGCATTGGTCGTTAATTATTAAAATCTTAACGTATTTGCTAAACTATTATTTGTCATGTATACCTTTCAAGGATTGGCATTCATTAAGCCTACACAAGCAATACAACATCTATTGCAAATTATTGTCATACACTTTATTCAGAGATGCAGCAAACCGGAAGAGCAGTTTCCGCCATGCCTCTGGCGTCAGGAAGGCTAACCCCGCTTGAAACTACTACCCCGAAGCCGGATCTGACCAGAGTATCAGACTGGCCCGGACCTCTGGCTCCATGGTGACATTAGCGCATGCGTACTTCTTAGGCATGCGTATATCTCTAATACGGATAACCGCAAAAAGGTTTTTATTTTTCAAATTCAGACATGTTGTGACGATTTGTAACTTTCGGGAGACCATTGTGAGCAGGAATTACATTAGCCTTTTAGCACAAACCAACTGTTTAGTTGATCAACAAGTGAATTATTCGGCTTATTGCAGATGTTGTAAGTTTTTTGTTTTTTTTGTCTTTCGGAGTCCATAGTCCTTACATCGGATGTACAATTATTTACTTTTATGGTGTTTTCGGGACATGATTAAGACATGCACCTATGGTTTCGTGTCCCCGACAATGACGCTTTCTAGTCATTGTCATAATGAAAATGAAATTCCTTATGTTTAGGTTCAGTATTTGTGAAAAGTATGTACATCAACCCTTTCGGTCCTCATCATAGTGATACAAGGAATGACCACCACTTTGGATCCGCCATGTTGGAAGAGGCGGGTACATTCTCATGATGGTCGGAATTGTACAAAGGACTCTTAAGGATTTTCATATGATTATGTAAAAAAAATTTTTGTCGCTTTTATTTGCGTATTCTCTTTCTAGTTTCGCAGTTTTCACATTAATCCCGCACTGCAAGTTGTGTCTGATATGGGTATTCTCACATTGATGACGTACAGTTCATGCATTGGTACCATGGCCCTGCAACATGTGAACGTGCAGCCTGTGGGACGATTTTCGATAGTTGCAAAGAGAAACCTTATTCATGTTGTATAATTGTATGTTCTTGTACATATGTGTATATGGTTGTATTTAATGACATCTTGTTAACCCCTCTACTGCTGAGACAGATTGTATATTTTGCTATCAGTTCCTCTGTTAGTTCAGCCTGGCTGATGGGGGTGAGATCCAGGCGGTCACTGTTGCTGCCTTAATAAACCAGTATTAGAAGCATTGTCAATTGTTTTGTTTCATCGACAAATCGGTTGTAACCTATACTAACAATAGTCATATTAAAATATGAGTACTATGTATCCAAGTAATATTAATATTCCAGTCTTGGCTGGGTACGACACACAATCAGCCAGGTCACACACTGTATGTTTGGTGTTTGGTGCCGCACTCGGCAATATTTTAACTATATGACGGCAGTCTGTTAATAATCGAGTCAGGACCAGACAATCCAGTGATTGTCATCATGACATCAATCCACGCAATTGGGTCAGCGAGCCCGACAACCTGATCCCGTTAGTCACCTTTTTACGACAAGCATTGCTGACTTTTACGACAAGCATGGGTTGATGAAGACCTATTCTAACCCGGATCTTCACGGGTCTCATCACTTGCAAAATGTTTGCGAGACAGATCTTTCTTCGTGTTTGGAAAGAGGTGGAAATCTGAAGGTGTCAAATATGGTGAATAAAGCCACAGTTATGCATATCTTCCCGAGGCAAGGGAGTTAACTGGCTATAAAAGTCCAATTTCCATCCTTGCCGAACAAGGCGGGAATTTCTAGGCTCGTTCGTAGCGCCACCAGTGGCTTTTACGAGTTATGTCCCTTCCATGTCCCTCCTATTGACTAATCAGATTCTACCTCTCATATCACTTCCATTTGCATCAAATAAAATGGCGACGTCCAGGGAAGACGATCTGATCGATAATCAAGATCTATTGTGTAATAATACGGGTCTTATTTCGAGAAGTGCATCAAATCACGCGAGCACCTTGATTAAAACATGAAAAGATTTTGAAAATATCAATTGATGCCAAGATCACGGTATACATGCTGCACGGCAGTTTACAAACCGCAATTTTGATTGTACAATGCATAGACTCGTTAGTCCAGCCAAACTAAAACTCCACAATTCCAGCCTAGTTCGCCAAGGGTGGAAACTGGACTTTCATAGTCAGTTAACTCCCTTGCCTCGGGAACATGAGTCCTGCGTTGCAGCCATGGGGACAACATACTTGTGCACTGTGGCTGATAGTGGTTAACTCAAGACTATCCCATGGTTACAAATCGCTTGTCAAAATGAGCTGGGTCTGATGGATCTATCTGTTTCAGATAGATACTTGATGACAGCGGTAGCCCCTTTTGTCCATTTTCAACAACAGAGCAGATCCGGGGTAGAATAGGTCTTCAGCAACCCATGCTTGCCGTAAAAGGCGACTATGCTTGTCGTAAGAGGCGACCAACGGGATCGTGTGGTCTGGCTCACTGACTTGGTTGATGCATGTCATCGTATCTCAATTGCGTGGATCGATGCTCATGATGTCAATGGATTGTCCAGACTCGATTATTTACATACCGCCGTAATATAGCTGGAATATTGCTGAGTGCGACGTTAAACAACAAACAAACAAACAAACAGACAATACATAGTCACGCTGATGCCTGCACCGATATGTTGCCTCTGCTTGTGTATTTGGTTCAAATGCATGACAAGGATGACAAGTATGCCACTCGTGGCAATATCTCCTTTCCCCCATATGTCGATGAGAGAAACATGATATTTCATTCGACACATGGATTATCTTCTATGTATCACTAAAATCGAATTAAACTAACTCACAAAAAACAGCAGCAGTCGAACTTCTCTGGTTGAGATCCAGGTCACATGATGCGGTATTGAAGCGTGATTGGCCAAGTACACAAAACAGAATCGAAGTGAACAATATCTTGTGCTTTGGAAACGCTATTTGTAGCTAAACTCGCCTGTACGCATCCCAAATAAGTCTAAAAAACTCTAGCAAGTCTGGATTCTGTAAGTTTCAGAGGATCTTTTTATATACATTAAAAGACGATATAATCCAAACAAAAAGACAAATCTAACGAAAACAAATCTTCAAATGTTTTCATTTCCGAGCTTTAATGTTAGTCAAGCTGTGAAATGCATTCAAACAGTGCGCATGCGCCAATAGACTAAGAAGCATATTTGTTTCATTTAAAAAAATAGCTCTTTCAGCCAGGTTTTTGAGATAAAGAATCTTAATGATTTTCAGCATGTGTTATTGCACATATATCTATTTTCACATCCTCGACAAGTTTTATCACATAACGAAAATAAACAACATTTATGCATAAAACGAAACACACAGTCAGGAATCCAGGAACGCATGGCATAGAACAAGGTCGGGACACATACAAGTCAAACCCTGGTTCTGTGAACCAACGAAATTACATTTTTCATCTCACCCTGCTGGATCATTTCATCATTTCATCTAAAACATGTGACCCGTGGAGATTCCGGGGTAGAATAGATCTTCAGCAACCCAACTTCAGCAATACAACAGCAGGAAACACCAGAAATGGGCTTCACACACTGTATCCATGTGGGGAATCGAACCCTTGTCTTTGGCGTGAAGAACAAACGCTTTAATCACTACTAGTGTCCTCTAGCCTACCCCACCGCCCTCGCCATGCTTGCCGTAAAAGGCGACTATGCTTGTAAAAGGCGACTAACGTGATCGGGTGGTCAGGCTCGCTGACTTGGTTGATACATATCATCAATCCCAATTGATGCTCATGGTGTCAATGGATTGTCCAGACTCGATTATTTACAGACCGCCGTCATATAGCTGGAATATTGCTGAGTGCGGCGTTAAACAACAAACAAACACACACACAATCTAAAACATGTACATCTAAATTTAAATTTTAAGGGGATCAAGTCGGCATGTGAAGATCAAATAAACGGTTCTACTCTTGTTCCCGCTATTTGAAGAACTCACGTGGCCCGTACAACCAACGAGGCCGGTTTATAAGAGTTGAAAGGTCACCATGATAGCGTAATGCTGGTTAAATGTATAAACACTGATGTTATGGTTGTTGCTAATGTCATTGTATGTGTCTACATGTGTGTGTGTGATTCGCTCTGATATAACGCAGCTTGTGGGAGGGGAAATGTCAGAAGCGATTGATACCTCTTACACTGAGACAGCATTTAAGATTACCCAGGTCTTCATTCATACAATATGGGCGAGGAATTGCTGCTGGAATATCTTCAGCGATAATTTATATGACATTACACGGAAACCTATTTACCCAGAGTGCGGGCGTGTTACTCCCGACCTTGGGTGTGTACCATCCAATATGAATCTCTGTGTACTATATTTACAATTTCTTCATTGATACTAAAGAATATACTTGTTTATACATAAAAAAAATCATGTGGGTTTAGAAAATAGTAACTTTGAAATGATAAAACTTTGTAATGTTACCCATGTACACACATGAACCAATTTATTAATAATGAAAAAATGCTAATTGCCAGTTCAAGTACACGAGATCCGTTTATTTAAAAATAGTATAAGTAAGTTTCTTATATATAAGGGGGCACGGGTGACCCAGCTGTCTAAGGCGCCGCGATTCGCTGTGCAGAGTTGCGTCCCTTGGGCACGCGAGAAACGTATGATTGTGGGTTCGAATCCCGGTTCGCCCCGATTATGTTTCTAGGTTTTGTCAGCACCAAAGTTGTAAACGTCTGAGACCTGCATCACTTCGGACTTTCCTCCCACGTTAAGCTGACACGCCGCGATATAACTGTAATACTGTTAAAAGCGGCGTTAAACCCAACTCACTCACTCTCACATATAAGTTACCACGCCTCACCTGACCCACCAGAAACACATTCATGGGAGGTTGTAATCGTTTAAATATACCCCAGTAAGAGGTCCTGCTTTGAGTCTTGCTAGGTACATGGTAGTCTGCGACCAAATCATGTACTTTGCGCCCCTTGGCGTGACAGAAACATTTTATCGTTGGTTCGAATCCCAGATTAAGATACATGGTTTCCCAGCCCCGGACAGGTGATAGTGGGTTTACGTGGCTTTGAACAGTACTTCAGGTACAGCCTGGTTCCCTGAGTCTGTTGCGTTGTAGCGCCAGCGCAGCAGACCCAGGGGACCAGGCTGCTTCAGGTTTCACACAGCGTGTCAATTTTTATTCGAGAAGAGCCGGAAGTGATGTGACGCTCAGACGTTCACAACGAGCAAAGATATGTTGAAGACAAACAAAGGTCCATGACTAGGTATAATCCACGATCATAGGATCCTTGCACGCCTAAGGGACGCAACTATGCGCATCGACCTGCGACCACCAGTGCCACCTTGGTAATATTGTTTGGATATCTTTTGGTTTATACTCAACGTCGATTTCAATGATTTACTCTGCACTCTTTCAAGTTAACTGTTTAAAACAACACGTCATCCACAGTTCTTTTTATGTAATTGCATTGTTTGATGACGTCACTGTTTCTGAGTGACGATATGATAATTATTCCCACTCGACAGAGACAGGAACAGATTATCTATATTTCAACTACCATGATTTTGGAAATTACTCGATTCTGATTGGTCCATCAGAAGTTTTGTTTATCTCATAACTGAAAGGTCTAACCACCTCAATGCCTTGTATACCCTTACACAAATAAGCATAAATCTATTCTATTGTAACTGTCTAAAAACGTTGACTCAGTTGTTCGTTTAAGCCCGCCCGTAGATACACAATGATCTCATCAGTGGTCAGTTGTAAGGAACTCCAGACCTGAGATCGACTAGGTGGTCTGATGGGGATGTTGGCCATACCTTCGTTATCTGAAGCTTGACACGAACACCTGAAAGTAACAGAACTGGTGGCAGCGATAGGAGATTAGAGTTACCTCCCTTGTTAGAGACGTCAGCTTGCGATGAAATCTAATCCTACAGTGCGATGCTTGGCTCTCGTTTCTTCCAGCACTTTGCCTACCGCTCTGTGCGGCGAGTGGCAGACCGCTGTCTAGCGTACCAATTCCTTATATGTCCGTCCCGTTGTGACGTCGGCGCGAGTTGTTCCGCTAAAGTATGGCGCTGTACGCTATCTTCAGTATCACTACGCCATTATACAAAAACTTTCGTCAAGTTCCATAACTAGCCCCGCCAGAACAATAACAAGTGTCGGATAGTTTAATTTTTACATTTTTTGACAACGGTTCTTTCGGAAAGTGTCAAGCAGACGATAGTGGAAGTAAAAGGCGGGAAGATGCAGCCCAGAGACGTGGATTAGTTAGGGAAGTAGAGAAAGCGAGAATGCGCTAGGAATCCTGCTATACGCAGTGCACGGCGTTTGGTTTACATTTGTACACAGGGAGGAATTCCTACTGCGGAATCCAAAGATCCAGTCGTCTAAGAATGGTGCAGCTAGATCGCCTGTGTTCATATCAAGTGTCATGTGGATTTGTGGCCCCAAGTTCCTGTTTTAATGGGAGTTGTGAGAACACTGGCCACTGAAGAAAGTAAGTAAGATTGTTTTTATTTTGCAGTTAAGTTCGTCTGCTGTGTAATTTGATACTTCCAATAACCACCTGAAGTGGATGGAGCGTCCATACCTTGTGGACAGCAGACGACATTTGAAACGTGCATGACAGCAGACGACATTTGAAACCTGCATGACATCAGACGTGATGCAACCTGCACGTGAGCGTCACCTTCCACGTGTCCGCTGTTTGCATGCTTGTTGACATCGTTGGCTAGCCCTACTTTTATCAGGACGTGTGTTTATTTTGAAAGTAGACCCACCAATGTTTTGCTACCTTGTAGCATTGTGACCTTTTCTCGTGTAAGAGGCACACTGTATTTATCTTGGACGTGGACGGTGAATTTGCCGCAACGCGGCACAGGAGTGGCCAAATTACCAAAATAATCAGATATATCATGGATTGGTTTCATGTTTAGCCGCAAGAATGTTGCTTGATACAGCTTATGTATCTCCCACTGTTACAGTTAGCTTGGAACCATCTTAGCCGGAAAGGCTTCGACGTTTACAAACACACCGTCCATGCAGTGGTATCTGTTAGGGCGGAGTCGTTCTGTAAATAGTAACATAGACCAATTACCGCATTCTTTTGCTGTGTCTAATTGGCTTGACACACAAATATGCAACAAATATTTATTTGAAAATGTTCGAAGAGGATATTTTAACTTTATGTTTTAATCCATTTTCCACGTGTTCGACGGAACATGTGCAATGTTGACTTGAGGTTAGTAGGCCAAACTTACCGAAGTAATACATTCAGCATTCTTCGCATTCTTCCGCCTCCTTTGAGGCTACGCTCGGAACAGCTGCAGTGTAACTCCGATGTCTCGTTCGTCCAGACCGCCCCCCTTCCCTTTTCATTTTTTTATAACATTATAATAAATCTATCGTTTGTTAAATGTCTATAAAATTTAGGAAGATGCAGCGATGATGATAATTACCCTTGTTCCTCCCTTTTCTCGTCGCGGCCTTTGTTTTGATGTAAGTTGATCAAAGAGTTGAAAGCCCTCCCATGGCACCTGTTATTGCTGTCAATCAAAGTACAAAGGGAATGAGGATAGTTAAGCTCTGCCTCCTGCACAGACCTGCGGGGAGCTGTGATGTTTCAATTAAAAATGGGTATATTTTTTTCGTATCTATAGATATGATGTAACGTGCATAATAATAATTGTTGCATGATAGTTTCAAGAGAAAACTATTGCTTTTCAATTACAGAAAAGAAAACAATGTTGCGGAAATAATGAACAAGAAACCAAACGCTTCTGCAATCTTCCACAATACACATACCATCGCCCTCATTATGTCAGGTTTAAATATTTAATATTTCAGAAATAAATCTTTAGTTTATAATATATTTATATATGATCACAGGAGCTTAAAGTGCAGGTTTGAATACATATGCGTTGCTAATGCTATTGTTATCGTTAATAACAATAATAATAAGCTTTTGCAGTACATATAAATAATACAACAATAAGTATAAACATGATAAAACGTGAACCGTTTATATTTTTACGATCTACCTACTGCGGGGTTATCGCATTCCTGCGTCCAGGTCCTCTGTTTGGTGGTGATCGGGTGTAATTGTATGAATTACACTGAAAATAGCTATGACGTCATACAACGCGATAACGGGATAAGAACAAGCTAAACTTAGAATGCACATAGCAGTGTCTTATTCATTTAAAAATAAGTTTTAGAATGAGCCTGCCGTGACTCATGCTGGCGTCGGGCGATGGGGTAGTCTAGTGGTTAAAGCGTTCACTCGTCACTCTTTAGACCAGGGTTCGATTCCCATATGGGTGTTCGATGGGTGAAGCCCATCCTTAGTGTCCTTGGTTAAAATATTGCAGGAATTAAACGATACTTACCCACAAACATCAGAATAGAGAGAAATGAGTTGGTGAGGGAGTTTTGTTGCTTCTATGGAGCACAATTTATTGAAGGACCCCATGAGCTAAGTGTGACACGTGCTTTACGTTGTGTCCTTACATATCACACGTGCATTACGTTGTGTGTTCTAACATGACACGTGCATTACGTTGTATGTTCTTACATATGACACGTGCTTTATGCTGTTCTTGAACATGGCACGTGCTTTGCGCTGTTCTTGCATATGACACGTGCTTTACGTTGTGTTCATACATATGACACGTTCTTTACGTTGTGTGCTTACATATGACACGTGCATTATGGTGTGTGCTTACATATGACACGTACTTTATGGTGTGTGCTTACATATGACACGTATTTTATGGTGTGTGCTTTCATAGGACACGTACTTTATGGTGTGTGCTTACATATGACACGTGTACTACGGTGTGTTCTTATATTTGACACGTGCTCTATGTTGTGTGTCCTTTCATATGACACGTGCTTTACGTTGTGTGTCCTTTCATATGACACGTACATTACGGTGTCTGCTCACATATGACACGTGCTTTACGTTGCGTGTCTGTTTGTTTTCATTCGTAATTTGATGGTGATGGCTTGCTACCGGTCATGGTGTCCACATGTTGGTTATGAGGAAACGACGAGGCTGATGTTGTCGTTGACAAATACCACCATGTGCCCGTAGGCGAATTGTTATGATTATGAATTATTATGTCAATTAAAAAGATATGGGATTAATGACGTCGTTGACAAATATATGTTGCTACCGTCATCTTCCCTTAAGGAAATGTTTATGATGATGTTGATTATAGAGATCCGAGATTGATGACGGCTTGAGTTGAGAAATACCTGTTGGTACCAACATCTTCTCTCGGGGGAATTGTTATGTTGGTGTTGATAAATAGATCTGAGATTGAGGAAGTCATGAGTTGATAATGTTGGTAACATCTGTCCTCAAGGAAGTTATTATGATGTCGGTGGTGATGATACGATGAGAATAATGACGTTACTTGGTAGCGTCTTCCTCTTTGCTATTTCGAAGACAATACCAAAAGCATGACCACAAACGTCGTCACCGCGATGGGAGAGTGAGTGAGTGAGTGAGTTTGGTTTTACGCCGCTTTTAGCAATATTCCAGCACTTTCACGGCGGGGGACACCAGAAATGGGCTTCACACATTGTACCCATGTCGGGAATCGAACCCGGGTCTTCGGCGTGACGAGCAAACGCTTTAACCACTAGGCTACTCGACCGCCCCCCGCGATGGGAGAACCGGTTCATCAAACGTAGGCATTTCACGCCGGTCCAGAATAGAAATGAATCACCACATGCACAATGCCAATGGATACCCGGTTTAGAACAGGTCCCCTACACCCGAAACCTGTCCGAACAGGCGACTTACATGGACATCGGGTGGTCGGATCGGGGACATGGCTGATTAGGTGCCGATCTTACCCTGACATTGCTCATACCATCACTCATTGGTTACTCTGGCCCAAAATGCATTGTTTACAGGCTGCGCTGATCTTGCTGGAAATACCTGACAGCGGCGTTAAACAACATTCATTCGCATTATGTATGCCAGCGCCCCACGCGTAGTCCTACGTCCCCTGTGTCTGGAGGCAGATAACAGCCCCTTAGGGACTGGCCCACTTGCACAAAGCAATCTTCGCGCTAAGATGATCGTAACTCCCATACTTTAACATAGGCTTACAATAGTCTTAGCACTAAGATCGCTTTGTGCAAGTGGGCCATGGTGCGAGTACTGAAGGGTGTATCTGAGTGTATCACCCAGGCACGAGTCACTCGCAACAAGTAAGATGAGAATTAAGTGAGTCAGACCACATGCATTCAATAACTATATACAGTAAATAGTAACAGAAACACCAATTGCAATTAATGGTCAATAGTGACAGTTTATTTAGACCATGATCTTAATGTAAGAGACAACCAACCAACAAAAGTACTCAATAAATTAGACCTGTCAGGGTAGAGAATAGGTCTTCAGCAAACCATACTTGTTAGAGGCGACTATAGACTATATGCATGTCGTGAGAGGCGACTAACTGGATCGGTTGGTAAGGCTCGTTGACTTGCTTGATACATGTTATCGTATCCAAATTGCGTAGATTGGTGCTCATAGTGTCAAACACTGTATTGTCTGGTCCAGACTCGATTATTTACAGACCAGCGTTGAACAACACACGAACAAACAAACTCAATGATGTCAGTATAAAATAGTCACACTCTGTAGTGTGTCAAATAAGAGATACCTATGAACGGTTTTAATGTTAACGCCAGATCTAAGTAAGAAGAACCAAGGAACTGACAAAGTTTCCCCCATGTCCCCCAGTGAGAGGTCCGGGTCAGCAGTGGTGACTCCTCCCGGGGAACTGACCAAGTTTCCCCCATGTCCCCCAGTGAGAGGTCCGGGTCAGCAGTGGTGACTCCTCCCGGGGAACTGACCAAGTTTCCCCCATGTCCCCCAGTGAGAGGTCCGGGTCAGCAGTGGAAGGTCCTCCGTGGGAACTGACCCATGGAAAGACAACGTCATTATTTTTTACCCTGGCACAGACCAATTGCAAGACATTGGTAATGATTTCTTGTAGACAGCCTCTTGGGGCCAAACTGTGTTTTTGTAAAATTAATACACCATCCACTTCACATGTGGTTAACATACTAGTCAAGGCACGTGTAAGATTTGAAAGTTTACAGCCAAAGTCAATCTTAAAATATCTAGTCGCACCCTGTCTGGCACTACAATCGGAACACACCGCATGCATACACCCGGCTCGCAGCACGCACTGCAGTCAGACATGGTAAAAACCTTTGTACTGTATGTTTACGTCTGAGCGCGCACCTGTTCGGGAGTCGTCGACACGGAGACTTTATTTGTATCTCTGTATACCCTCTCTTCGCAGAAAATGAGTTTTAAGTTAACAAAATGGTTCCTTACGTCAATAACGGAGGTTAAAGGGTACGGAAGTCATCTGGTCTGGGTCAAACCTGCGGATGATGGTATTGTGCAGCATCTCTACCGTTAGAGACTTGGTGTTGTATGCTCGCGGATGCCGCTTTTAAGAATGT